CGTTATCAGCACGATAGTTAGCCACCTGAGCAAAACCCTAATTCGGCTATCTCTGATGTTGTCTCCGTTCTTTATCCGACGTCTCCGTTTCCGATGAGTTTTCCTACGCTGTCTCCATGTCCGATAATTATCTATGATATCCCAGATAAGTACTATCCAATAATTGAATCATTATTTAATCGACTCAGTCTAATCGTAATCTCATGCTTCATAATTGCCATGGTATTGCTTTACTGGTTTTATTAGAAGAAAAATCTGATAATTCATTAAATTATTTATTATCGTCACTTGATAAATTATGATGGGATCATGTTTCTTATTGTTTGATATGATTTTTTCGTCCTGCTTCCTTTCATGTTTTTAAAATCATTAATTATAAATTGACAAATTTTTGATTTTGTGGTTTGATAATCCAATGGTTTGGTTTCGGTTCTTTGTTTAAATATATTCATGATTCACTTTAGAATACTTAATTAAGTTCAATATATTTAAGACGGCTCATGCTTTTATATAAACATTCACAAGTTTATTGTTTATTAGTTTGCGTGTATATTAAGTCTGTGCACGATAATATATAGCATGATTGACAAAATATTTTATGATAGTTTCACATCGTTTGATTTATGGTAAGTATATATCTATGTATCTGTATCTGCAAAATCATTAACTATAATTCTGATAAATTATAGTTCTGATAAATTATAGTTCACCAGATACTTTCAATTTGCTTTCAATTATAAATTTTTGATTGTTGCTTTTTCATCTAACGAGGTTTATGTGGAGTAAGAACCGGGTTAGCAGTGATGAACAATACGTAAAAGGTTTTGGGATTATTTGGCCGAAATTTCTCCGGTAACGTCTCCCGAGTACTTCTTCTTCAAGTAAGTCATTAAACCCGCTAATATAAGATTTGTTAAATAGAGAAGTAATTTACAAATTGAAAACAAACTTAACTATTTAACGTCTAGATCTGGCTAAATTAATCGATTTTCTACTATTGATGGACTTGCTTATGTATAAGAATATATAAACCAGTAGGCATGTGTTTTGCATGTATATTAGTCTTTAAATTAACCGTTGGTAGTTGGTTTAAGTGAATCTTTGATAATTGCAAGGCATTATCGTTTATTGTTTTAATGATCAATTTATCGCTTCCCAATTGTTGATTCACTTGGTTTGGTATAATTCATTTGATCTAGTCATGTCACTGCTTAAATGTCATGTTTAATTGCATTAATCCACACACGTTTAAATTGCTTTGGGGTGATTGATTCATTGAGACTGCTGATATGACTTATGATTTTCAATATGACATAAATTACGTCGTTCGATTGTAATTTATTTATTGTTAAGTACCTAAGAATCATATTTCATATAGTTTCCATAACGCTAATTTAATTAGCATATCGTCTTACTAGTGAACATGTTAGTTTTGAACTATTTATTTAAAGATCTAGATGATGGTTGATATAATGGCGTTATTAGAAACACTAATAATTCTGATGAAATAATTATATGTTTCTATGATTTGATGATAGGTAGAATTTGTTGGATTTTTACAATAAAATTTGAGTCATATCCAGTTAATTCTGGTTCATTCCTTGAAGAAAATGTGATACCTTATACAGAAAAAAAGATCACACTAATAACACCAAGGCAAGAAAGTGGCTATAGAAATTATCTTGAAAGGTCAAGATCGAAATCAAGGTGTTTCCTTCAAGGAACTTAAATTCTCACCAAAAGTGCGAGAAGAAAATAGTAAGAAGTTGATCA